GTTTAAAATCTTTAAAAGTGCTGTCTCTGTGCTGCGGTTCATCCTAAAACCAGACTGATGTCTTTCTAAAATGTTATTTCTGATTTTAAAAATCATTCATTTGGTTAAAAAAAAACTTTTTTCCCCAAAAATGTTACTTAAAAAAGGTAAATTGGATACATGTCGATAGATATTAAAACCAATGGGGTCTAAATTGTTCTTCTTCAGAAGGGGCCTCACCACCACCATTTTAAAGTCGGTGGGGAAGACACTTGTTGAAAGAGAGCAATTCATAATGTTTAAAAACTGTTCCTCAAAGAATCCATGAAATGATTTTAAAAGTGATGTGGGAATTGGATCTAAAAGACAGGTTGTTGGGTTTACTTGGGAGAAAACTGGACCAAGTGTCCTTGCATCAACCAGGGCAAAACACTCGAGCATTTTGAAGCAAACTGGAAACAGATATAAGACCAGTATGTGGACTGCATCAAGGTTCTCAACTGGTCTAACCCTGGGACCCACATTTTCCCATGGTCACAAAGGCACAACCCACTTTTTTCAGAATTCAATATTCAATATATTTTCCTGTGCAACATGCATTTCAGAGCATATAACCATGCATAGTAACTGGACCATGACAACCGCATGTAAAAAACTGCACAAAATAAATAAGGGCACAAAACAACATATTTTCACTATATTACTATTCAGACGGGGGGGGTGCTGAGCATTCGGTCCGGCCGATGGTCACAGTGCTGCATTGGCAGCGGAGGCGGGAATATTCAGATATTCAGAAATCAAAATTGCTATCCCGATTCCAGAACAGCGCACAGTGATTTGGCTGTTCAAGTCGAGCCCTAGTACAAAAATCCACATTCTCAATACTCTGGATCATATTTGCACTTTGCCATCTTGCATGCCAACATCAACACAAACTTAAAATGAACATCAAACACACTATGGGTACCATGCCTGTCAAAACACAAGTTTTTTCAAAATGAAAAACAAGTCTAACCTGACACGCGTATTATATATTATTAATTTTTGAACAGCTGTCCGCGACTCAGCCAGAACAGATCCGTGACCCGCTTTTGGGTCGTGACTCACCAGTTGAGAATCACTGGACTACAGTTCCTGCAGATTTCTGGCTGGCTTTTGTACCGTTGAGTATATACTCTCTGGTGGAGGCTTGACTTCTGTCTCAGTGGATCTAGTAGGAAACCCTGCACAGCTGTAGATAGATGAAGGACCTGAAGCATCATTGGGTGAAGCATCATCCCGAGTTTGGGCTGTTATGACCTGGAAAGTAAATTACAGACAACATTTTTAACAAATACCATTTGTAATGTTTTACTTAACATTTTATTTTTAAAAGTGCCATTAACTGCAGATCACCTGTATCCTTCAAAAACTGCAGTTTTCTAGATCTTGAACTACAGAAGTGAACACCCTGTGTTTTGTAACGTCACAATAAATTTGTAGTTTTTCATCTAAAATTCATGAAGTAGCTTTTAAATACACTTGTCTGTGTAGTTTACATTGACTGTATATAAAAAACATACGTAACCACAGTGATGTCACCAATAGGTTTGTGGATTACTGTTCTGTAGCCTCAAGTCTGGCACTTTGACTGTCGCCA